AAAACTGATCTTCTAAAAAGTCTATTAATTAAATTAAATACATTCACACATACCCAAGAAGTTAAATGATTCATATAAAGTCAAACAGCTAATCTTAGAGGAGAATTTGAACCCAAGGAGGCTGACTAAAGCTCAGAATTCCCATGGCAGCAGCCCCAGAGAGAGGGTCTGCCCACATTCCCACCACCTTCCACCTCTCTGCTGGCTACGGCATCTACGGAACTATGAACTGTTTGCTCTCCACGGGAGAGAGCTTGGTGTTGTGGTTGGCAGAGGGCGTTTGCAGGCAGGGAGCGAGCATTTGCGGGTCTGGGAGGAAGAGGAAAACCTCTGAGGTGTTAGGGCTTGGGGAGCCAAGGCCTGACGTCTTCCAGCAGCCTGCCAGCCAGTGCCGGGAGAAGAAGGGAAGCGTGAAGGAAACACTCCCTTCTCCTCAGCTTTGGCTGTCCTCACTGGAGCCTCAGCTCCAGCTGGGCTGACGGCCGGGTGCTGAGCTCAGCCACTGGTGGGCGGGGTGACCTTCAGACAGCCTTGGTGTCGTGGGAGGGCTTGAATCCTTTGAATGATCTCCACGGGGGCCTTCAGCTTCTAAGGCTTTAGCCCCCTGCTTGCCCTTCTCCCCTAGGTGCAAAGTGGGGATGAGGCTGCTCCAGGAGGTCCACAGCACACATCCCACAGTCCCTACTGCTCTGCGTGGGGAGACCTACATTCCCAGGGCCAAGTTACTGGGAGTGCTGGCATTACACCACCATCTGGGTACCTATTTCAAAGCTCAGATTAAAGCTGTAGGGATGCCTGCAACATGGTTAGAGGCCTGGTCAGCCTGGGGCCCCTGCCATCTTTGGTAGTGACTAAGGTATGGGTATGTTATGGTCCGGATAACTCACAAAAGCAGCGACCCACACTTCACTTAGAGTAAACGCCAGGTATGACAGGCACGAGGCCACGACTTCTTCCCTCCAGGCTGGGGATATGGCCTTGGAATATTACTAGCTCCCCTCGGTGGCCCTCGCTCACTGCTGTGGCTGACCCTTGGTCCCACTCAGTGTGGCAAGAAAGCCTGGAGCCCTAGAGTCCCTGTGTCTGTCCTCTGGCAGGCTCTCCTCACCTCAGCTTAAGACAGCCCTTTCTAGGAACCCTTTCTGATGGGTCAGGATCTCTGCTAGGTCCCAGAGCTCCTCAGGTTTCCTCAGGCCACCGCACTAACCTGTGTGGAGGCTTTCTGGAGAGGGTGGAAGCCAAGCAGAATTCAGAACTAAGCGGGGATCTGGTGCACAAAAGGGAGAAGGAAGCGCGCACAGAGCAGGTCTGAGAGGCCAGCAGGGAGGCTTCTCCTGGGGCAGAATGGGCCTCCAGGCTGTGGCCAGCAAAGCAGCCCCATTTGAGTTGCATGTGTTGGCTGTGGTGGGGCTTGCTGCCAACAGGCATGCCGCCCCCCGGGGCAGCAGGGCATCTCCCAAGCAGCTCACCAACTGGGCCATTTCCCAAAAGAAAACACATTCAAATCTCTAAAACAAATCCCTGGCCCCAGGCCTAGGACTGGAGGTGGGGAGACAGTGCTGATTCTGGGATTTCCCACTTCCCAAGGCTTATAAAAAGCCCACCCAGAGAAAGGTGGAGCCAACCAATCCCAGGCCCCACACTACTGCTCTCCAGCCATCTGCGGTTGGCTCTTTGGCAGCACCCACAAATTTCAGATTTTCTCACTGCAGGACTTCATTAATGGCCGGACTCAAGATCTGTGCTATCACTCTCTCACTTTGTGGCCTTAGCTAAGTTGCTCTACCTCTCTGGGCCTCAAAGAAAGCCTTAAATCCTAACGAAATCATCAGAGAAGATAGCCAGACCTAGGGCAGAAAAGAAGTCCCTGAGGCAGCTGCAGTGGGGAGGACACAGGATATAGGCTTTAGTGATGAAAGAGTAGGTGGAACCACCCACGTCACACTTGCTCATTGTTTGGGGAAAAGTTTCTCAGTGGGCAGGGCTGAGAGCCAGTGCCCTTGAAGAATCAATCACACTATAATTAGTCATTGTGAATCTTTCTGCACAGCAATGCCTGAGTCTCCTATTTAACTGACGCTTCTGTCCCAAGAGGCTCTCATTGCTGCTTCCTGGGGGAGAAGGGAAGGAGGCGAAGGCAGGCCAGATCTTCCCAGCAGGTCTGGACCACCCTCCCATAGGAAGAGCTCCCTGTTCCTCTCAGCCGGAAGGGCCAGCTTCCTCCCTCAAAATGCAGGCTTCAGCATCTGTCCTGTCCCTCAGGGTCTGGACGTCACTTAGCGTTTGTTTGAGAGGCTTCCTACCACGTGCCCTGCATGCTTGGAGTAAAGGATTCACCAAGAATCAGATATGAGCCACTCTTCCTTTCAGAGCTACAATCACACCTGCATGCACAGTGCTTCACAGTTTACAAAGAGCTTCACCCAGTCACCTCGTTCAAGTATCGTACCACGTCCCTAGGTCACTATCAAGATCCCCGCGTCACAGACGAGGAAACTGAAGGTGACAGAGGTCAGGACTCACTCAGCACCAGGCAGACAACCAGATGTCTGCAGAGCCTCTCCCTCAGGTGAGGCCACAGGAGAAGACCTGCGTTCTGGGACACATTTGGGGCCATCGGCTGAACAGAAGGCAGACTCAGGTGCCTGCCCTGGGCTTTCAGTTTTCTTGCACAGAGGGAGCCTCCTTTTGCAGGTCAGGGCTATGAGCTTAGGCTGAGAAGTTACCAAGCATGACCCGGCTTTTCTCAGAGAACAGAGCTGGGCATCGCAGAACCCCAAATCTCGGGCTGCCAATGCCACAAACCAGAGTTTTGGAATTGCCCTATGCCAAGAAGCATACATCATGGAATCCTGGAGCAATTTAATTGGTGTCTTAGAACTATTAAGTCATAAGACGTGAGCACTGACCATGTCGTGGAGACGATCTCTCCAGCCTCCATTCCCTGCAGAAGTCCCCTGTACAGCCGGGAGTGGTGGTGCCAGCTCCCCAGGTCAGCCAGAGGCCAATACACCTCAGTGACAGCCCCCACCTCTCTGCAAGACTGAGTGGCTCCCACCAAGCTGCCAGGACTGCAGGAAGGCCATCCTGGGAGGAGTCCCTGCACCCAGCTCTCCCCGCCCCTATGGCACTGCCAAGTTCTCCCTGCCGCAGGCAGAAGCCAGCAAATACCCACCAAGGACTCAAGGGCAACTACCCTCTCCTCATGAAGTTGATACTGGGGCCTCATAGGACACCAGTGACTCAGTCACCAGGTCAGGGCTGGCTTTTCCTGATGCTCTCCCAGGCCCCAGAGCAGGAGTGCCACAGAGCGGAGTGTGGCAGCAACTTGCATTGGGCAAACTTGTTTCTGCTCAGTTTTGCCCCTTGAAGGAATGGGGAGCTGAGATTTCTTTTATTTACTTACATTAGTATAGCAGAGCTGCGACACAAACAGGCTTCCCAAGTAGCCCTGGGCGGCAAGAAAAACAAATACTACCATCTGAGGACCCCTTCACTTGCTTCCTTCCCCCTGCCTCACCTCCTCTTGCCCTTTTCTCCTCTCACCACTGGGCTCCAAGGGCACCCTGCTGCCCAGCTTCCCCAGCCTTTGCCTTTGCCTTTGGTCAGGCTGGGCCCCCGAAAGGACAGCTCTGACCCAGCCCAACCCAAATCCCATCCATCTTAACAAGTGGACCCTGAACAAGACCTGGCCTGACGCCCACAGAAGCCCACTGCCTCCACTCCTCATGCGCACATCGCATCAAGGTCATCATCTGCTTCAAAGGCTGCCTGCACCGGGCTGAGAGCTCCCCTAGGCTGAGACTTCTGATCCATTTGGCTAAGCACCTGCCACTCTGCCCAGTGATGGGGACACAAGATACTTTAGGTCCCTTCCTGCCAGGGGAGCCGCCATGTAGGGAACCTGGGTGCCCTGTGTTGGGCCTGGCTCCAAGGAGGTGCCCATGCATTTATCAGCTGGAAAATGGGGTTAAACGTGCAGAGGAAAGAAAGAACCAGTCAGAGCCTTTTAAACTTCATCACGGTAGAGCCACTCCTGAGCCTGGTCTGAATTCTACCTTTTGTCAATTTATAGAAGAAAATTAAGATACTAAAAAATCTCAATTAGGTTCTTTTCTCTCACAGATGTTAAACTTAAATTTCTGGTATTTGTTTGCAAGTTCCTGTACCAGCTCTAGAGAAGACAACCTCATGTTTAGCCCAGGAACTTAGTTCTACCCCTGTCATTAACATTTCTCTTCCTTCACAAGATTCTGCAAAAAAGCAGCAGTCTTTCTGCTTCCAGGGATATCTCAGAGCCTGGGGCCTAAATGTCTCGTTGGTGCTTTCAAATGTCCAAGTTTTATTCTGGTGATCAAAGATCAGTCTTGCTCTAATGCTGAGAAAGCAAGCCGGTCCACCTTGAAGGTTCACGCCAATTCCATGACTCAAAGCCTCCAATTCCACCACTTGCCGCCTATCCCATTAGCTGAAGCACCACTTTCTCTAGGAGTCTCTCTTAAATACATATTTTCCCTGGAGTTGGGGAGTCCATTTAACCCCCAAATTAGAGGTCAAGGAAACAGTTAATACTTGGCTCTAAAGAACTGATGAAGCACAGGGTTTGAACAATCTAAACTGCTTGGATTTGATCCCAGTTTTACCACTTAATTAAGCAACTCGAATATTTCTATACTTCAGTTTCCTCATTTATAACACAGGAATGACACATACCTCATTGGTTGTTATAAAGATTAAATGAGTTACTACATGCAAGGCCGTTAGACGAAGCCCTCAGGGGGCTAAGGCAGAGACATCTTCACTGAGAGCTTAGGTTCTGCTGCTCCATAAAATGGGATAAGAATCCCTGTTTCTCCTGCCTTTTTTTTTTTTTTTTTTCCATGAACGGTGGGGTGCTTCCTCCACAAGAGAGGCAGACATTGTTCTGAAGCCAGGGGGCTGCTCTCTGTGGTCTGTTTCTACCTCCTTTCTCCCTTCCTCTCTCCTTCCTTTGTTCTTACCGGAAGAAGGTACCAGTGGCTGTGAGCTGGCCTCCTTGGGGTGTCCTGTCCACAAAGGCAGTGACAAAGCTTCCTTGGAAGAGCTGAGGAAACAAGGAGACAAACCCAATGAGATCTTCCATTCCCTTACCCTGCCTTCCACCCTCCACACCCAGCCCTTAGCCTCAACCCTGGGCCCACCCTGTGCTGGTGTGGGACCCAGCGACAGCTGCCTCCTGTCCCTTCCCTGGAGAAGCTGTGTAGCTGGTGGCTGATCTCTAGGCCCTGAAACCCACAATATGGATCCCACTTCCACACATGCTGCCCAAACACCAGCCTCACCTCCCTCCAACCAGGACCAATGGCTCCCTGAGCCCCTTGTGCCTCTCTGCAGGGTTCAAAGACCCCGTGGCCAGGACCCTGGGGGCAGAGGCTCTCTCCTGCTACAGGGGATGAGCTCCTCCAAGGTAGCCACCGGGCCAGCTGTTCTTTCAAAGCAGCCTCACAGGGGAGGGAGAGCTGGTGGGCTGGAGGCAAATCTGGGGCACCACAATTATGAGCCTGAGTTCTGACTCATGCACTCCTCACCCGTGCCCAGCTCCTCAGCCAGCAGGCCAGCCCTCTCTACCCAGGAACTAGGAGAAGGGGGAGTTCTGAGGCCATGGCAAGAAGATGGCAGGGAGGGAGCTTTGCGTCGGCCCCACAGGCCTCAGAGGATGCTGCCACCTTGCCTTCCTTGGGACACTGAGGCTGGCAGGGCGAGGGGCGTGACCAGGTCACCCAGAGAAGCAGAGGCAGAGGCAGAGCTGGGGGACCCAGGGCAATGACAGTTTAAGCCTGGTGCCCCAACACAGGAACCATGTCAGCATGAGAACTCTCCCCAGCTCACTGGGACCCTGCAGTCACATACCGGTAAGCACCATGCAGCCGAGACACATCAGCTGAGCTCAGAGACAGTGTAGACAGACCCTGGCATAGCCCAGCCCACCTCTATTCCTCAGTGCCTGGTCTGTCATAGTGTTCACGATGCCTTGTACTCTATAGCTTACAAAACACACTTGTTTCTTCTATCCCGCATAGTGACCCTAAGGTCTAAGTGACAAAAACATAAATAGATAAGGGCTTCTCGTACTTGTTAAACTACAGCCTGATGGGTCTAGGCAGAGTCCAAGAGTCTGCATTTCTGGCATGCTGCAGGTGATGCTCATGCTGCTGGTCCATGGACCACAATTTGAGCAGCAAGGACAATGCTGAAAGCATGACGCCGGCAGGTCAACTGCCCATGTTAGAATCTTGGCACTTACAGTATGACCCTGAGCAAGTTACTTAACCTTTCCTTATGTAGAGAACAGTAATAATAAAATCCACCCATAAGATTGATGTGGGAGACTACATTACATAACACATATTTAACACTTAAAGTGGGTCAGAAGATATAGCTCATCTGCCTAGCATGTGCAAGGCCCTGGGTTCCAAACCTGGCACCAAAAACAAAACAAAACAAACCACCAAAGTTATTATGATTTCAAATTTTAAAACAGAAGCTCTAAAAGGTGCATGTACCCAACAAGCCTGCAAAGCTGGACTTTAAACTTGAGTCTTTTAATGTAAACCCTGCCATACCAAGTTGCACAAAATGTCACAGCCAGCAAGCCATGAGACAGACATGGATACTGAGGCCCAGACAGGGGCAGGAGACTGACATGGTCATCAGAAAGCTGGTGTCAGAAACCCAAGTGCAGGGCCGGGGGTGTGGCTCTGTGGTAGAGTCCTGGTCTGGCATGTTCAAGGCCCTGTGTTCCATCCCCAACACAGGGGGGAAAAATCCAAGTCCACAACTCCTGCCCAGTGCTCTTTGTACCACGCTTCACTGTCCTCTAGGGAAGAGAAAGAGCCTTCGAGGGGTCTCAGCTCTGCTGCCAGGCCCACCTAGTCCAGCAGCTGGCCTCAAAACCAGATGTGGGCTGGGCATGGTGGCACACAGCTGGAATCCTAGCACTTGGGAGGCTGAGGTAGGGGGATTGCTGCGAGTTTGAGGTGAGCCTGGGCTACACATAGTGAGTTCGAGGTCAGCCTGGACTACATAGCAAGACCCTGCCTCAAAAACAAAAAACAAAACCAAGCAAACAACAACAAACCCAGCTGTGGAGGTCACCCTCATCTGAGCCCTGGCCTTACCCCAGCCCCTGCCCACCTGCCTGTGTGAGGAGTCAGTGGAACATCTGCCTTCCATTTCCATTTCCTGCCTCCAGCCTGGCTACGGGTCAGTGTTAGGGTCATCCAGCTGAGATCCAGGGAGAGGGTGACATGAATGGGTCCGGCTCTACCTCCACCTTGGCTTTCCAGCAAGGGGCCAGTAGAAGCTGTGGCCTGGCTGTGTAATCTTAAATACATTAGTGTTCTTCTCTGAGTCCCAGTGAGTAATCTGAAGGAAGTGCTGGCCCTAAAGAGGAGGTGGCTCTTTAAGCTGAACCCCCACCCCAAACACACACACAGAATCACTCCAGGACCTTGGGAAGGTGGCAGAAGCTGATGGAGCAAAGGAAGCTGATGGAAATAGCAGTACTTATTCAGATTTTACCCAAAACTCTGGCTGGCTTGAATGCCTTGCTTGCGAAACATAGCCTGCGGGCTTTCTTGCTGTGGCCTGGCTGTGTAATGTTAAGTACATCAGTGTCCTCTGAGCCTCATCTGTAGGATCATAGGCTGCACTAAAAGACTGCTGTGGCCTGGCATTTTACAATGAGATGAACAATTGGGGCTAGGTTTTTCAATGAATGAACAAATGCACACATGAATGAAATGAATGAATGAATGAACTGAGTAACCTGATTTAAACTCTACCTATAACACAAGATCTATCTATTACCTATGGTTGCTTGTATGGCCCAGATCTCACTGGCAGGAAGACCCATCCCTGAGCCACTCTTAGAAGGGGAAAAGAGGCCATCATCCTGAGCCCCATGGGTCACAAACTCACAGATTTTTTAGAGAATATACAGGAATCCCTGTCACATGCACCCATGTGACCTGTGACCCTAAACATCCACTTCCCTGACTAACACCACTCAGGCCTACGCGCTCTTCTCTGCTTCTTGAACCTCAAGACCAAAAGATGACGTGTCCAGATGCCACGAAGGTCACCTGGGGAGGGGGGTAGACACTGACAGCACAGGTAGAGGGAAGAGGGAGGCAGGGGGTGCTGAGTGGCAAAAATGTTTTAGAGGAAAGACAAATTAACTTGTCAAATCCTATCTCTCAGATACCAACACACAATCATTTCTTATGTAAGCATGTATCAGTTTTCCCGTAATGCTGAGCATCTTTTTTATTGTTTGTTTCTTTTTTGGCATTTCTTCCTGTTCCATTTTGTGGTTCTAAAAGTACTCATGAATTAGTGTGGTATTCGCAAAAAATGCACATGGTGGCTGAAGAGCATCTTTCAGTATTTAACAATTCCCATTACTCTAATGCAGCATAAAATGTGATGCTAATTCTTTAAATTGGCAACTAGATGGGCACTGAACACTAGTAGTTTCATTTTTATAAAACCTTCAAAGATCTGAGTATTTCATCTCATACACAATCTGTGTTTTGATTTTAATAGCTTCATAAAATAAAAACATTTTCTGAAGATAAAAATAAATCCTTTGGTGTTTACATTTAATTTAGTTTGCATTTTTTAATGAATATATACGTTTCCCCCCGGTACTGGGGACTGAACCCAGGAACCTGAGCCTGTTAGGTAAGTGCTCAACTACTAAACTAAACCTCTACCCTTCTATACACTTTTCTTTCTCTCTTTTTTTTTTTGGTACCAGGAATCGAAGTCAGTACCTTGCACTTGACAGGCAGGCACTTGTGCCGCTGAGCTATATCCCCAGCCCTATATACTTTTATGTTAGTTACTTTTCTCACTGCTGAGACAAAATACCCAACATCCAAAGTTAAAGAAGAAAAGATTTATTGTAGCTCACAGTTTGTAGAGGTTTCAGTTCATAGTTGGCTGGCTCCAAGGCAGGATGGTATGGCAGAGGGGCATCACCAAGGAGAAACAGTTCATGGTGAGTGGAAGGCAGCAAAGCAGTGAAGTAGCAAGGAAGTGAAGCTGAAATCAATAAGCGACCCTCTTTCTACCCCTCATATCTTATCCAGGCCATCCACCTTTCGAGCAGATAGCACTCACACCCACAGTGGGGCACCCTCAATCCTAGCATCACACCATGAATCAATCCCAGCATCACATCCTTGATCCCAGTATCACACATCCTAGATCCAGTCACCCCAGAAAAGTCCCACCTATGACCACATGAAGCTTTGGTGGGACTTCTAGATACAAGCTATAACAACTTTTAAATTGCATTTTATTAGCTATCCTTTTGATCACTATAAATGATAAGAAAATTTTGATTATGACAATTAGTGATGGTGCTGAAATGAAGACAATGATACATTTTATGCAATAAATAATTAATAATGAATCATAAGCCGATCATCACTAGCCTATCAACAAAACACCCAGACATGGCTAATAAAATTCAGACATTCTTGGTATTTTGTCATTTTCACTTATATACAACTGTAACTAGAATACAGTTCAATTTATATAATAAGGCATTATATTTGTCATTGTAGGAAAGTCAAACCTGTTTCATTTCACAGATCTAACAGGTCACGACGTCCATGCACGTCACCTCCTGCTCCCAGCCTTGCATTTCAGGAGGGGTTCCACAGGTGACTGATAAGGCTCCAGTGGGTTTTAGGTTCTTGGATCCCTACTCTGTCTAGACAACACAGATCACATTGCCAACACACATCCTGAGCTCCTGGTGTGTGCAGTGGCTCTGGATGGAGGAGCTGCGGTCTGATGGTAGAGACAGACACTCCCAGAGGACATGTGCACAAAAGCAGCAAGGACCAGGTGAAGGATGAAGGCCTTATTGGTGGGTCACAGGTGGCTGCCAGCCTTACCCCCATGGGCGCAGGACGGTTCCACTGGAAGCAAGCAAGCTGTTTCTGAGGAACTGCCAGCCCTTCCCTGCCTCCCTTGGGGGTACAGAACTTCTAGACTGCTTCCTCCCAGAGGTCACCACTTCTTGTCCAC